TTAATGACAAGCGCGTCATCGTGGGGGTAGCGGACTCCTCGCGCGTCGTCCTCCGTGAAGAAGATTGGTTCTTCGGTCTTTGGTCTCTTTGGAGGGTTTCGCTCCTCGAGGGCCACTTCGTGAACTGAAGTCCGAGCTGCTACCGAGGTACACCCTGCTACCACCGAACCTCCCACAATTACATGGATGGTTCCCCGAACTGGCCTCTCCACCGGAGGCTGTCGCTGTAATGGTTCGACAGGCCTGTTGCTAGATTTGGGGGCATCCTTTTCGTGCTCCCCTGGCCGATCTGCCTTATTGTTATTATTGTTGTGCTGGACAAAGTTTCTCAAGTATCCGCGACGGATGAGCCCCTCTATCTCGTCCCGGAGATTATTGCACTGCTCGGTACTATGACCATGATCTCTCTGGAAACTACAATACAAATTYTTATTTCTTTCGTTCGGATTTCCCTTTAGGCGAGGTGGCCACTTCACGTATGGGGTGTCCTTGATCGTCATTAAGATCTCAGTCCGCCTTGTGTTCAGTGGCGTGTAATCCATCCGAACTGCTAGGGGAGCTCGGAATGACTGGTTCGGCTTCGGCTCTCTGGCCGGGTTTTTCCAGTCGACTGGGTTAGAGGGCTCGCCTTCCCTCTTTCTTTTCTCGTTTCCGCACTCGGTTCGTTGGTTGATTTCTTCCTCTGTCCTCGTGAACTTGTCCGCGAGCTTGAGGAATTCGGCCACGGTTGCGGGCTGGTTAGCTACCATGTGTCATTTGAATTCTTTGTGCGTTACCCCTCTTCAAAAAGTGTCAAGTTGGTCCCTGCCATTAACTGACCATTATTTACATGTTGAAAATGTCAAAACTACCCTTGAAAATAAGACATTATTCATTGTCTTCTACCTTTAGATATGAAACACATTCTTGTCTAGTTATTTCTTTGCTTCCGGTTATTGTTTGCCTCTATCACATTTCATGTTTTTTTTTTCTCTTTTTCTTTGAAGATATCCACTTCAGTCTCAAGGTAGAAGTCTAGAAGACAGTGAATTGAACAGTGTCTTCTTTTGAAGAATAGTTTAGACATTTTCAATAGATAACCGATGATTGATTGACATAGATAACCGATGATCGATTAACGACAGGGTCCAACTTAACACTTTTTGAAAGTTTAATACTAAAGTGATACCTTTGAAAACTTGACACTACCCCAAAGTTTTGGGCAAGGTTTAAAATTTCGATACAATAACTCGATATGAGGCATATCGTATCATATCTTTGAAAATCAAATACAGGATATGCATGGAAATTGTATATCTCGTCTTTTTTTTCATGCATATCGAATCCGTACGGGGGCGTATTGGAGGTGTATCGGAGCATATCGTTAGCGTATTGACAAAAAATTGAAAAAAAAGGGGGAAAGCAAGCTTATTTTCCCTAAAATAAGCCTTCTTTCACCCCCAAACGACTCTAAAACTCTAAACCTCATTCCTAAAGTGCTAAATTTGCAAGAAACAAGTGTGAATTATTAATTTTTTTTGAAAAAAAAATTAAATTTTGAAAAAATATGGCAAAAATAGGTAAGTTTTTTCAAATTTTTATAATATCTTGTGATTTATTTTTTCTTTAATGTTTAAATCTATGTTGATCTACATTTCTTACATTCAAAATCACATTTTTTGTGTTATTAATAAATTTGTGGAAATTTCATGAAGATATTTAGGGAAAATATAAATTAATAAAAAATTTGAAAATGTAATTTTTCTTTGCCTATAAAGACTAAATATGTTTTAGATCAATGAATTTATCTATCATATCCATGGAGCAATTGAAATTTCTTCTTTAGTATTTTTTATTTTTTATATTTTTAGAATTAAAAAATAAATAATAATTAATTATATTTGTATCATTTGATCACAACAATTGAATATATTATAATTATATAGACGATCTATTATATCCATAAACCAATTGAAATTTCTTATTTAATATTTTTTTATTTTTGTATTTTTAGAATTAAAAATTAAATAATTAATTAATTATATTTTATCATTTGATCACAATGATTGAATATATTATAATTCTATGGATGATCTATCATATCCACAAAGTAATTGAAATTTCTTCTTTAATAACTATTTTTTGAATATATTATATAATATATTTTTTTTTATAATTTTTGAAAATAAATAATAAATAATTATTGATTATATTTTGAATTAGAAGTTGTGCCAATGCTTGTTTTATGGTTGGATAGGAGAGTTGGGTTTTTCCCATCCCATAAAACATTAAAATTTAAGAATTATAGTTAAGCATAGAATTTTTAATAAAATTATAATTAAGTACAATATATTTCTTCGTAAAACCGTTAAAATATATTAATTTATTGCATATACACCTTATTGAAGTCTTATATTTAATATTATTGATGTTTTTTGTGATTTATTAAAGTATTTATACTATTTTCAAACGTATTCATGTGTATATCTTAATTTTTCTTTCCATACACAGTTATCCAAAATGTATCCAAATCTTAAAATTACCTTTGTGGAATTTTTTCAACAAATAAATCTTCAATCTTCGTGGGAAGAGAACGTTTACTCTGATCCCTGTATCTGATCTAGTACGTTTCACTATTCACATCTTGCCAGGTGCCGTGATGCTGCCCCCTTTGCGATAGATCCTCCCCAACTCACGGCTGGAATGGTAGCAGCAGCACCAATGACAACCCGCTTCCGGAACCGGAGGCAGGCTAGAAAATACGAACCGTCGATAGACTCCATCTCTCGACACTTCCAGTTCCAGAGGCCGTACCTTCTTTAATCTTTCTTTTTCTTTTTTTTCGTTTTTTTCGCAAAATTGAAGGCCTTCTCTTTGGCGGATTTCTTTCAGCAGATCCTAAACGCTAGAAGTATAACCCCTTCCCCCCTCCCACCTCGATCATTAAACCATACGAGCATTCATTCTTTCTTTCTTCGGTTTTAATAGCGGGAGTTTCTTTCCTACTCAGTTTTCTGCTAAGAAATTTCGAATCTTTCACGTTTTCTCTCAACCGATCAATCAGTGACTCGACCGATCACACATAGTATACGAGGAAGAAAATGGACGAACGAATCTTAGAAAACGAGAGGCTTCAAATGGAGCAGATAAGGGAACTTGACTTGGAGGAACTACAGGTCGAGGAAGTCGATGACACTCATAACTCATCCGACGACGACTCCGAGTAAGCTCTTTCTTCTTCGATTTCTCCTTTTCTTTTTTCTAAAAGAAAATCGTTCTTTTTTTGTTATCGTAATAACAACATATATCTTCTAATTTCTCTGTTGAGCGAGTCGTTGTTGCATGCGTTTTTCATCTACTATTTGTGAATGTCGTAAATTGTTCCAGTATTGTCCTGAATCAGAAGCCCTAACTTTAGAATATTAACGATTATTATGATGGAAATTTGACGACACCATCGCACCAGTTATTTTGTTAATGAACTTCAGTGTCGGCCCTAACTTTAGTGTCAGCTATCTATCAATTCTCACCATTTGATCATATTGGTTTCATGCCAGATGCCACCAGTCATTTCAGACTCAAATTCCGATTTTGCGCTTTTTGCTACTTGATAATTTTCAGAGCCAACTCAACTTTAGGGTCTGCTATCTATCGATTCTTATCATTTGATCATATAGGTTTCATTTCCACCAGTCATTTCAAACTCAATTTCCGATTTTAGGCTTTCTGTTACTTGATAATTTTTCACAGCCAACTGAACTTGGCTGTTGTCAACATTTCGTTATTTTGTTAGTCCTTTTTTCTTCCAAAACCATTGTGTGTTGTTGAATTTTGTTCTAAGAATTCATCACATTCTTGTGTAAAACCTAAAACAGAACTTGCCCTGCATGGATCTGCAAAACCCCAAATGTTGTCTTTTTATTTTTTTGTCTTTGTATTTTCTTTTTCCTTCCTGTCCAAACCTATTACTATACTCCATGTATAATTTGTGACAAATGTCATTCCTATTTCTGTACTTTATTGTAACCGGTATAGCTACTATTCTTTAGCAGTGTTATAATATGTTTTTTATACGCCTGATAATTCTATAATTTTTACTTCTTACCCTACTCAAGTCCAAGTCGCCATGGAGACGGAGGGATAGGTTCACATGGTGGATTGACATTTGACGCATGCTTGGCTTCCTTGCATACATATCTTGGAGGTAGGAATGTGACACCTGGTGGTGCTTGTTTCCATGTTTTTGCAACTTTTAGTCATTAGAAACTTTATGATCCCACTTGTGTGTCACAGAGGTTGAAGATACTCATCGTAGATTAGCTTTCCTGGATGGTGGTGCCATATTGAACCTTCCAATGTTTTACCTCGAAGGTAATTTCTGCTTATGCAATTTTTGTATTTATTAGCTATAAATTTTGCCAGTAAAGATTTCAATTTTGATGTTCTTAATGTGTACTAATGAGGAACTTGGTGCTTGATTTAGATAAATATCTTACTTTGAATGTCAACAAGTAAGAACTAAGTTTTGGTTTCCTGTTTGATTTTTGTCAGGAGCTGTTCTGTTTCCAGAGGCCACCCTTCCATTAAGAGTCATCCAACCTAGATTTATAGCTGCTGTGGAAAGAGCATTAAATCAAGCTGATGCTCCTTACACTATAGGTGTGGTATGTGAACTCCTATTTATTGGCTTCTCACCTGCTGTGTATAATATCTCAATTTTCTCTCTAACTGTTCACTTACTATTAGACCATTATTTATACATTTGATTCAGGTTCGTGTTCATAGGGGTCCTGATGATCAAAGGTTACACTTTGCAACCATTGGGACAACTGCAGAGGTATTAGTTCTGATGTTTTTATTATATTTTTCTTGGAAAAATATCTTGTACATGTTTCTACCATTCTATCCCAAAGCATGATTCTAAATCTTCTTTACATAACACATGGATGCTTATTTCATCAGATAACTAACATAGGGATGTTTCTCTCTGATAGTCTATAATTTTAAGTGCAAAGGCTTTTAGTTAACACTGAAGTTTGTCTTATTTGACTAGATCTGTTGAATTACCTAATTCCTAATAATAGTACTTGTCCAAGCATATTTAGTATTGAATTCTCATAACTTAGAAAAAAATGCTTTATTGGAGAATATTTCACATCTTGAATCTAGCCAATTCTTGTGTATGTAAAACTGAACTAAACCATAGTTGATGAGGTTCATGAAAGATCTTGGACAAACATCCTTATAGAAGTAGGTTTGGAGTTATTGTCATATGTTTTTTAACCAAGTGGAGTTCTGTTACATATTTTTAGTTTAAAATTTATAGGAAGTTTATGTGTTATTTTGGATTTTAGGTATGGAGAACTAGGGACAGGCCAAAAAGGACATAGGTTAAAGTAGTGAGAAATGATTTAAGGGCCTAAAGTTTAACAACGGATATGGTACTAACAGGACAGGATGATGGAAGAGGATTTGTGTAGCTGATTCCATGTGATCAGGAGAAGGCTTAGATAATGATGATGAGACCCTGCTCTTGTTTTTTCAAGACTGATTGCCTTATCAATTTGTTAAAGTGTGTAAATTTGGTCTATTATAGATGGTCCACTCTCATCCTTTCTTGTAGAAAGCAGTGAACTTCTTAATATCTTTTTATTTATTATTAAAAAATACTCCATATTTTGAAGTGACGGGTTGGTTAGTCCTAAATCCTACTGCTGCCAATTTCCAATCACTAAATTTTATATTATCTGAAGAAGCATATTTAACTTTCTAAATGCACTATTCCAGATTAGGCAATACAGAAGGTTGGAGGATGGTTCATTGAATGTAGTTACCCGTGGCCAACAGCGATTTTATTTGCAGCGCCGTTGGATAGATGTTGAAGGAGCAGTAAGAACTTTGAATTTGTTGATGTGAATAACATATTCTATACCTTTTCCTAGACTCAGATTGATGGTCGAACTAATTCATGTATCTCCTCCATGTTTGTCAGCTATGTGCAGAGGTCCAGATCATCCAGGAAGATTTGCCTTTGAGGACACCAAGGAATGCATTTGGAGAACTGGCATCTGTAAGCAACTTGTGGAGCCGTAGCCTCTCATGTTCACGTAATTCTCGTGCAAAATGGCATAAATCTCAGTGTGAGGAGAATGACTCTGAGTCCATGTCTGAGACAAGTTTCGAGAGTGATCTATCACCAACAGAGATGAGAATGCACAAATCTGCTATTGATTCCACTAATTCGTTTGATAGGATTGATGAAATGATGAGTAGTGATGATGAAGGATTTGAACTTGTGTCTGGCAGCCAGTTGGGAAGATATCATTCTAATGAATTCAGAGGGTCATCACAACATTGTATTATTGACAGGGGGAGTGAAAGTGAAGACACTAGTCCAGGTATTGGTAATCAGTTCACTCCAGGAAAAATATCACACCAATCATGCAAAGGTGAAAGATGGAAAAAGAAAGGTTTACTTTCTGACTCAAATTGGGCATATAGAGTTCCAAAGTCATATTGGCCTAATTGGGTTTACCAGATGTATGATTCCTATTATCTTGCTCGAAGGGCAGCAGGTAATGTGACTGGCAATTTCTCTTCATTGACAAATGAAATATTTTTCTCTTAGGCTCCAATTTGTTTCAACGCACAAATGAGGGAATTTTTTTTTTGATAAATAACACAGATTTTATTAATGAAACAAGCAAATACAAATGAGGGAAAATTTTTCACTATGAAACATTTCAGTTATATTAGCATTGCTAATATGGTAAAAACTTTGTTTTCCCTTTTATTCAAAATAAAGACCATTCTAATGTTTTTCAAGCATGCAACAAGTTTCTTGCTATTTTACAAAAACACTCTCATTTTCCAATATATTGCTGTGTCAGATGGGGTTCATATTTACATGCCAAAAACATATGAGAACTTCTATTCAGCTAAATGTTGAGTTATCTAGACATTAATAAGGTATTTTGTGCTTTATGGACCCCATACTTTCTGNATGTTGAGTTATCTAGACATTAATAAGGTATTTTGTGCTTTATGGACCCCATACTTTCTGCTTAATGGGTTAAATGCATCAGTTTTGTTTTTTTTTCCTTTTTTTTCATTCTTTCATGTGTTTTAAGTGCTTAAGCTTTAGTTATTTATTTATTTTTTGTCATGCACCAAACTACTATTTTCTCTGTGTTCCAGCTTAACATGTTAAATGCAGCATCTAAACATGCAAAAAAATTATTAGCAAAAAATTATCTGTGGTTTCTGAGCATGCACTTCTTGAACCAAATTTATTGGATTTCTTAGCCATTAGGGTTTGTTGAGGTCACTGTCTTTAATCTTATATTGCTGTTCTGGAGACCAGTACACATCCTTTTGGCTAGTTATTTGGGTTTATGGATATGGAATATATACTCAAGTACCTATGGCCAAGACATGAGATGATTAACTGAATGGATGAGTTTTTCTTAACAACATTTTTTTTTTTGATAATTATCATTGGAATTACTAAAAATGCATTTGTAGTTTTATTAATACATGGGAACATTATGAGACTATATAATGAAACCTGTGGGATTTTACCAAAAATAAAAAAAAAGTCTGTGGGAGTTATAACAAAGAAGTATGTCAGGGACCTGCCTTCTAACAGATGACCACTGACTCCCCCTCCATAATGGGGTTCTTTGTAGGGAGCAAAACAAACTTCTCATCATTGTTCACAGTATTGACATACTTGATACTCACTTTTCAAGTATAGAGTGTCTTGTGTCAGTGTTAAATGCTACTTTATTCAAAAAACAGACATTGTGAATGGATATTAACCATTGGAGATTGATTTTATCCATAATTCCCTATATTTACTGTATCGATGTCCTAAAAAACTGATACATATTGATACTCTGAACCATGGTTCTAATGAGGCATTCAATTTGAGAGTCTTTCTCATTGAATTCTGAAAACCTTTCCTGATGCTCGTATACTGAGGATAATCCTTTTCTTATGTTGTTTTCTTGGATTCAAGTAACTATTAAGTACTAACACATCCTTTATTGCAAAACTAACAACCTTGCTTCACTGGATGTAGCATTTTCTAGAATTATTAGGAATTTTTTACATTAACATTTTCCCTTCATATCTTGAATGTTTTTCTTTTTGGACTAAATATTTCTCAATGATTTTCATGATTCCAATTCAACATCCTGCAGATATGTGGAGGCAGATAATAGGGGTTCCAAGCATGGATGATCTTGTAAAGAAGCCTGATCTTTTGTCATTTTTTATTGCTAGTAAAATTCCCATTTCAGATTCTACAAGGCAAGAACTGCTAGAGATTCATGGGATTTCTTATAGATTACGTCGTGAAATTGAGTTACTGGAATGCTTTGATCGTGTTCGCTGTAAAAACTGTCAGGTTGCATATGTCTTATCATTTTTATTCTTTTTTTTATTATTATTATTGTGTAGCCTAACAACCATTACTACCTGAATTTATGGAACTTATAACATAAAAAGAACCAGGGAGAGTATGTCAGTATTTGCAATGCATAGATAAGAAAGCTAATGGTCACCCCCAGAAAAAGAACAAGAAATGAAAGCTTTAGTTGCTATTTTCCTTTGCCCTATCAAGATGCACTTAATGCAAGAAAATGCTAAACAGCTCGGATGTCTTCTGTTGTGCTAGCTATGCTCTTCATTTCTGTAAATGATCACAACCACCAAAAGCGTACTGTAGATTTCTGTGAATCAAATACATTGTTAGGGGCATTTGATTTAAACTGTTTCTCTTTTTCTGAGGGTGTCAACAGTTGGTAATAACATAAACCTGGACATGCTTACAAAAAATAAGGAAAGAAAGAAAGAAACCTGAACATGTTCATACTAAATGTTTAGTAGTTTATGTATTTGTTATAGAAACAAAACAGACTAATAGAACCAAAAACCTAAGCTTGATTGATTCTAGCTGGTCTTTGACAAGATAGAATTGTGTGGAAAAAAGAAAAGACGGTAAAAGTGAAAGGGGATTTTGGAAGAGTTTCCTCTATAGTTTATATTTGGTAAGGATTTGTTTGCTCTTGCTTGAATTTGAGAATCAAAGTGATTTTAGCTTATTTATTCTGTTCACATGTCCTGTTTACGGACCTAACCATTGTTCCCATTCTTGTAGACTGTAATTGCAAAACGAAGCGATATGTTGGTGATGTCCAGCGATGGGCCTCTTGGTGCGTATGTGAACCCATATGGTTTTGTGCATGAGATCATGACACTCCAAAAGGCAAATGGCTTAGCACTTATGGGGCGTCCACATACAGAATATAGCTGGTTTCCTGGGTATGATATTAACTCCCTCTGATCAGAATGGTTACTCTTAGCTTCTCCATTGTACTTGACAAATAGTGCATCCCAGGGAAGGACTTCAGGCTTCTTAGGGTGGTAAAGAATATTTTTCATGTTCGGTGAAATAATTTCCAGTATCTTTAAATACCAAACATTTGATTAAATAGGTTGAAAATGTGGATTAGATAGCTTGTTCCTTCTATTATCCCGGATATCAAATTGGAGGTCATGGGTTTCGGTGATTTCTTATAGTTCTTTTATTCTCTTTATTGGTGAGCTGACTGTAGCATTTATATCACTGATGGCCCTGCATCGTGAGTCATCATTGTTGCAGTTGTTATTATTATTTATTCCTACCAGCTTAGTGTTCTATAATCGTTGATTTTCTTGGTAAGGTTCTAACCAACCATGGTTTATAGGTATGCATGGACAATTGCCACCTGTGCAACTTGTGAATCACAAATGGGTTGGCTTTTTACTGCCACCAACAAGAAGTTGAAACCAAGATCCTTTTGGGGGATTCGGAGCTCACAAGTTGCGGATGACATGCGCAGTTCCCAAGTTGCTGATGATAGGCGCTGAAACTTGAAAGGATTCTGAGTTTTCTACTAGCAGTCTAGGAGATGACATGCACAACTCCCAAGTCGCCAACTGCAGGTTCTGAAATGCGGAAACGTTGAAGTTGCCTCAGATGATCCCTAACAAAAGAATACTAAATTCATGACTTACGAAAATGGGGTAACACCTGCTACAATTGATAAGTTGTATCCCAGAAGCCTTGATTAGTTTGAATGCAACGACATATATAAATCTGTGTTGTCGGTAGTTCCTATGCCTTGTATTGATCTAGATCACAGTATCAATATGTGTAATCAACGGCACATATACTTCTAAGAATTTGAGTTAGGTATACAATACAAGCTCGTGTCCCCAGGGGATGGTATACATAAAGATGCTACAGTTCTTGGGTGCCGAATTATCATACAATGCATCCAGAATCCGTCTCAACATCGTTGGATCCTGTTGAGAGCATCATTTTTGGTTAGAAGGTTAGAGCACCTTGATACCTTATGGTTTGTCCTGTGGGATTTGGAGCTCGTCACTCCGGGAATGTATAGGAAATTAATAGATTGTTGTTCATCACAAGTCACAACCCAAATCGCAAAATTAATTTGAACAAAGAGCAAAACTAGCGCAACTGAGCAAGTGGCTGTCAGCTGGGGTGGCGTTGTGGCAATTTTCTCCCCCAAACCCACCCATTTAAGTTGTATTTTTTTGTTGTAGTTTCAAGAAAATTGGATTAAATGGTGTGGAAGAGTATTATTTGTTCGATATGAAAACACACTTTTTCTTAGTTGTATGGTTATTTTCTTTTTCCTTTTTTTAAGTGGAATCAGAATGCCTCCTCGAACCTTTTCCTTTCATCTTGTAGTGTGGGGAAATTAGTGTCTTGGACTGCATATGTGAGCCTGTGAAAGGACTCCAATCCAGGGCTCTTGGAGCGCAGCTGAGGTCTAAAAATTTGTTTGAGTTGTAATTTAGTATTGGGGTTTCTTTCTTGTAATTGTGGTCCAGTTTTGGAGCCCCTCTGTAATCTCCGATGTTTTTAATAAATTTATTTTATCTTCTTCAAATAAATTGGAAAATTTTCACTTGTACCCTGAATTTTGGAGTTGTGTCAATTTAGTATTTAGTACTTGAACTTTTAAACGTGTCATTGCAGTACCTAGACTTTCAAAAAGTGTTGGTCCAAAACTGTTAATGGGTGTTAAGTATCATGTAAAAGGACAAAAATGTCCTTTACCTATCATCTATTGGTATTTGATCTCTAACCAGTAGCCACCTCTAATATCAAGCTGGTTATGGATTCAGGTATTCATGTCAAAGAAGGAAATACAAAAATTGAATAAATAAATTTTTTTTATTGGCAACCATGAAGAGAATCTCATTCACTAAACATAAGCACCTGTGTTTACTACATTTGGATTCAAGTCATCTATTCAGTGCTAGAGACAATAAGGTATCTCCAGAAGAATGGAGAACAAAAGCTCTTCAGGTGGAGAAGCATGTGTGTGTTATCGATATTAAATGCGGGTCGCAGTTGCAAAGACGAACTTGGCATTGCACATCGTCACTGTGCAGATTTATGGTTTAAGTTAAGAGGCAACAGGTAATTGTTTCTTTTCTTTTGCTCTAAATAACCTTGGATTTTATTGGATAAAGTGAGTCCCATCTTATTTCAGTCAAAAACTCATAATGACCTGAACTTTTTTTAACATGTTTTTGATTAGGATAAGTTTTGAATTTTCAATCCTTAAAATGAAGCTACACTTCGTCTAATATTTCCTCTTCTGAGTTATATGATAGAATTGCTCATTAGGCATCACTGCCCATGTCATGTTGTTCCAGTAAAATCATCAAGGAAGAAAACCAGTATCTTGAATAGGAGGAAGTCCCTTGATCTCTAGCAGTCAATATTTATCATCTTATTCAATACATAAAACCTGGTGCCCTTTTTCCTTAGGCTCCGTTTATTTGCGATACAAATGCTGAACCGAGGTATTTATGCATCTCAGTTTGTGTTTGCGAGCATTTATTTGAAACGTAAAAAAGTAATGATTATCAGAGCAAAAAATGCATTTTTTGACACTTTTGTACTCTAAAAAGAAAATATTACTATACCTATTTTAAGTATACAATTTTGTGTTCAGTTGATAATTAACTTTTTGAACAAAGTTGAGGCATTGGAGCATAAGATAGTTGGAGCATTTAATGATGGGCCCACACCTTTGCACCAATTTCAAACAAACAGGATGAATGCAAAAACGGTTTAAAATGTGAACCGTATTTGTATTCATGAATTGAAAAATGCGTAAATATGTAGTGTACATATTTGCGTTTGCATTGCAAACAAAGTAACAAATGTAGCCTTAAAAACAATTTTACAAATTTTAGAACTGCTATTACCGTCTGTACAAATTTTGAAAAGGTTCTTAGATATGCAGGTTCTCATACTACTATTACCGGTACTGGGGTGCTGCTGTTTCACCCTCCCTCCTTCCTGTTCTGGTTAGAGGTGTCACTGTTTCCCCCTCCCTCCTTTTCGTTCTGTTTAGAGGTGGGCCTACCATCAAAAGGTAGAGAACAGTATCTTTATTAATCCAAAATCTCAAACACCTCAATCGATTCAGTCTTAAGGACGTAGACAATAAACAGTGCCTTCTTTTGACAATTGGGATATGCTCCTCACATAGGGCGCTTCACACCGACCTCACATGTATATCTCACCATGCATTGGGAACATCTCCCGTATTTAAGTTGACATTTTTGCCTTGTGTGAGGAGCAGATCCGGTCTCTTGTCAAGGGTTGATATTTTCAAAAATTATAAGTTGCACATGTCATCACGTGATCAGATAACTAACGATTGATTAACGAAAGGGACCAACTTGACACTTTTTGATAATTTGAGTACTACAGTGGCACGTTTGAAAATTCGAGTACTAACTTGACACTACCCCCAAAGTTCAAGGTACTAAAGTAAAATATTAGTAAAACAAATAATAAAACTGTGAGTTTCATTGACAGTTCTATTTTCCTTTTTCATTAGTTTTTTTTTCCAACAGAGGTTGGTCCTCTCTATTCATATATTGTAACAATCAATACACTTTCCTTAACAAACCTTGTCTTTTTATAACTTGTCTTTTTATAAGGAGAACGCTAAAAAAAATTAGGAATATAACTTGTCTTTTTATATGTTTAATTATTAGTTTTCAAGGAAATCCTTCATTTTCCTTTGTTTCACATTCAACAAAATGCTATTTTAGCAGAAATTGATTATTTGATACATTAAGAATCACCATGAAGAAGAATAAAACAGAGATGAAGAATTGAGGATAGTAGTTTGAAAATTCTTTTATTAATTCATCACATTCACATGTCAAAAAGGGAGGCGAGACAGAATTTGGATCTCCCCAAAAATGGGTCCTGGGTTCTCAATTGGACATGAGGCCATTATTTATATTGTTTTCTCTTAACAAACCTTCTAGAACGTTCCAAGCTTGTGTAGCATCTCTTTTCAGATTATCATGTACTTTTTTTTTTTAGAATCTAAGGTTTTGTTTGGATTTTCATTTGTTTCAATCAAAGTTCAAAGTATTGACACATATCAGCCTGTATCAGTCTATACGTATTATGCCAATGTCTTCTCAATACGTCCCTATAGGGTTGTATCAGGTCAGCCACTGGTTTAGAGGGTAGCCGTGCCTTAAACCGGTCCCTTTGAACCGATTTTGAAAAAAATAAGTAAAACATGAAAAAAAGCACCGCCACAAGCTGATATGCCCTACCAGCGTATTGGCCCGTGTTGATATTTAGGACCTTAGTTTTAATAAAGGAGCAGAACTTTATTACAAAGCTGAATTGATTTCCCATGTTTTGAGTATAGCAACTAGACCTGTTCATAGCTAGGTAGCCCAATGGACCGGCCTGGCCCAGCTTGTTCTAAGTCAGGCTTGGACATGACTGTAGGCTTGAGAATTATATTTAACAATTATCAAAAAGTATAAAATTTTAGTTATTGTTATTATTATAATTGAAAACCAAATAAAAATGGTGGAACAAAATATTAAAATGTTAGAAAATGAAATTATTAATTAATCTATATTGAAAAATAAAAGATAAATTAATGTAATTTCGTTAGTAAACTACCAAATAAAAAAATATATTTAAAAAAATTTCAATAAATCCCCATAGTTACACAAATGTAATAAATTTTTCATAAAACTACATTTTTGTAAAATAACATTTTTGAAATTAAAAGATATAAAGTATTTGAAAGTTTATTTAAAATGCATTAAATAATTATTGAAAATAATTAGAATATTTTGGAAATTTTAGGAAAATTTATTACATTTGATAGATTTTGGAAAACCATTGAAAAATTATGTAATTTTCATTGCAATAATGACTATGGGAAATGGAAAGCTATAATTTGAACAAATAATTACACATATTATTAAGATAAATTCGTATAATATTGGAAAAAAATTATTGGTTAGATTATATTAGAAATTATAAGATAAATTAGTATAATTCTGTAAGCAAACCATTCAAAAAGAAAATAAATTAAATAAATTTGAATAAATTTGAATAAATTACACAAGTATAATAAATTTTCTAAAATTTTCATAAAATTACATTTTTCAATATTAAAGACAATCTAGTGTACTTTTAGAACTTTACCATGTGGTTGATACTCAATATATCCTTTTGATCATTTCTATCATCAAATTGAATATTGGGTTAATGGGGACAGTGTTCTCAAAACTCGATCAAACCAGATGGTTAGACCAAAAAATTAGGAATCGAACACCACTTCACCTCAAAAACAGCTTTTTGTCCAAAAACCGTTTATTTGGTTAGCGAACCATTGACCTGGCGATCGAACCGTCAACCCGGACAATAGTTTTTCGCCTTTTTTGTTTTTCTATTTTTTTATTCTTTTTGTCAGAGTGGGTCATCCATTCGACAGACAGACCGTTCGACCCTAGAACGGTTCCCTATCTGGTTCAATTTTAAAAACCTTGGATGGGGAGTAGGTGCTTTGCCTTGAGCTTGGCTTAATGTGCGGCATGGCCTGGCCCATGGACCAGCTTGACCCACGGCACAACACGGGCTCGTGCAGGCTCGAGCCATGGGTCGTGCCAAACCGACCCCCCAAATTATCTTAGAGGAGGGAGACAAGACTTGGGATGCCTCGTGCGGCATGGCTTGGGATGCGGGTCACATGCGGGTCGTGTCGTGCCAACTCAGCACAACCCAATTTACACCTCTACTTGAACCCGCCCAATAATGGGGATAGGGCAAGGAAATTCGAGGATTTTCCATCCTTGATGAGGAGTAGGGTGCCTTGCCCTTGAACTCGTCCAACATTGAGGAGTGGTTACTTTGCTCTGAACCCGTGTGACATTAGGGACGAGGCGGGGATGGGAAGTAGAGTGTCTTAACAATGGGGCTGGGAAAGGGATGGGGTGCCTTGCCCTGAACCCACCCCATTGTCATTCCTATATAATTATTAATTATTAGTGGAATTAATAAAAATATTAATTTTTATAATTATTTTTATTTATTTTAAAATTAATCAAAATTTTATTTAAAAAGAATAAAAATTATTAATAAAAATAAATTTATTAAAAATATTTATTTATATTCAATTAGGAATAATTAATATTTTTATAAATCAACATTAAATAAAAAATAAAATTATTAAACCTTTTAAATTTTTCGTGCATCGCAAGGGTCCGTGCTAGTTAATACTTAAAAATAATTGACCTAATTTAAACTAATATCTAGAATAGGATAACAAATAAGGAAGAAAGAAATAGAAAAGTAACATCTACGACACGCTGTTAATAACTTGTTTGA